TTTGAAGCTTGGGCTGGGGCTGGCTCTGCGGTGGGGGTGGAGTGAAATTCTCTGGCGGAGGTAATGCTTTTATTTCATTCATTCCTGGAACTTCTTCCTCTTTTACTGCTGACGTACTTTCTTCTGTGCTTTTCTCAGAGACCTTTGGTCTATTTGCCCTCTCCCGTAAAAAGCCCTCCAGTGTCCCCAAAAGCTTATCAGAGATCCTCTGTACCTCTGGAAACTCTGATGACCGTGCCACCCCTATATCCTTGCTCCAATTATAGACTGCCACAAGTTCATCAATCATCTTGGCTGCATTAACATACGCATCAAAAGCTTTCACACAATCAGCATATTCCATCTCTGTAAATAGATCCAACACAACCCCCAAGACCTCACATGTATCAGCATAAAGCCTAAAGCTCTCCTTGACAACAAGGTAGAGTGCTACAAGCACCATCCTACTGCTCTTTGCAGCACCAGTTGGCTTACAAGCCAAAAAACGATCAAGAAGCCGAAGCAACTGATTCAACCTCTCCAGAATCCTCTCCGGTTTCATCTGCCTAAGTGGTGTCACAACTTTTTTCTCCCCTCGCCCTGAGGCATCGTCATTCAAATCATCATAGGACCTAGTTCTTCTCTCCATCCCATAACTAGGTTCATCCCGAAACTCTCCATATCCATCATCGTACCTCTTTTTCTCCTCGCCACCATTCAATTTCCTCTCATAGACCATAAAATCAAGCTTCTGGTCCAAATATGATGCATAAGTCCTGACAAACCCCGAGTGATCCCATGAATTGGAGTGAGCTTCATCACGAAAATCTGACATATTCAAAACCCTCATACCTCTACGGCTTGCATACATGATCTCTTGTCCAAAAACAACATCCCCATCGGTCAACAACCTATGCACGAGCATTAAGGCCTTTAGTGCAACAATCCAATCGTGGGTTTTACTCAACCGTTTTGAAATAGCATAAACACAAGCATTGACATATCCTCTGGAATAAGCCATCAAATTCAGTATCTCCCTGATATATTTCTCATCAGCCGGTTCGTTATCATGAGATGTTGCCTTCACAATCAAGACTTCGAGGTCAGGAGCAACATTGCCAGCCACCTTAGCCAGGCTTATACTAGTTTGATCTTTCACCGCCCCAATAGCCTTCCTTATTGTGCTTGGAGCCATTTTTGGAAGAACTTCAGAGAAAAGGTTGATATCACCTCTTTGTCACTAGCCTGTAAGTTCAATTTATGAGAAGACCAGCAAATATTAAGCGCTCTACTGGTAAATCAATTCCAAAATGTACTATCAAGAAAATAAGCCAGTCCCCATTTTCATGGTAAATCTGATCATAGGATCATATTTTTATATTGTATTCCACGTCAAGCAGATATTGATAGTTTCATTCATTTTCCAGAAATATAAAAGTCAGTTTTTTTTTTAATATGAAAAACGACTTCTATACCGAATAAAACTATGAATGTTAAGGAATAAAAATAGCAACATCGGTCCAAACATCAGTTTTGTTTAGTTTGGTCCAGAGAAAGCATTTTAACAAACACAAACAGGGTTAACAATTTCTTTGAAGACTGAAATCCGAAATGCCTTACAAACAAAGTCGGTCACCATCAGCAATTCCACTATAACAGATCTTTTAACCAAAAAAATAATAATAATAATTCTGCCAAACTAATTCTGGTGAATATCAGATAAAAACAACAAGTACCATTAATACATCAGTATGTATATATAGACACAAAAAAAAAGGAAGCTTTGGGGATTGAAGAATCACTTTATGGGGTATTGCAGTAGGATCAGAAGCGGGATCCGGGTTCAGAAAAAGTGATCTGCTTCAACAAAGACGGCGATCGGACGGCACCGCTATGTGGGCAGCAGCAGGTTTCCTGTGCAAAAGAAGAATAAAAAAGTGGGGATGTACAAAGTACTGGTACTACTTGTTAATATGCGACGATGATAAACGAGTACTTTGAACGCACATCCATTTATTTCATGTCACCTTCATCAGAAAGAAAGAAGGAAAGAAAGAAAGAAAGAGTCCAACTGTCCAAGCCAAAGCCAAAGCCAAGCCAAGCAGCTTTGATGGTGTTGGCGATATCAAGGAATGGAAAATGCCGCGTAGCTCATGACTTCGTAAACGTATGGCATAAGCTTATGTACTAACAGTAGTAACGTCACTTGGTAAAAAGACTTTTAAACCCTTTTCAGAGGAAAGCCCACCAAAAACAGAAGAAATTTTTTTTCCCCTTTCTTCTGCTTTTCTCAAAAGTTTTACTGGGATAAAAAGAAAGAATATGTTCCCTCTATTTGAAGTTTTATCAGGTGCAAAAATTTTTCATTTGTTTTTGACAAATGGGCATCTGCTGTGAATCAATGAAGCAAAACATGCCAAGCTGCAAGTGCTGCCTTTGCCTTACGCTCGAACTTTAAGCCTTAAGCTGCAAAAGACTTTCACGATGAAATCGAACAGAGGTTTACCAGAAGGTTCAAGGACTGGGTACCAAAGATTTAAATTAATTTCATTTTTTGTCACAGTCTAGTCATGTGTTTTTTTTTTCTTGGACCAGAGGTTTTTAAGGTTTTTATGTCAACAAATTTTACCGTAGTATGTGATTCTAGATATGTGTTTAATAATTTTCAAATATATGTTTCTAAAAACACACCAATTCAAACATTTTTTTTCTTATGGCTAACAGTTCTTTTTTTTTTTTTTTCAAAAACATGATGTTTGAGAGTTTTCCGTTTGGATGCTATTTTTTCAAAATAATATTTTACTTGCATCACAAAATCTTTTTTCAATTATATTTTCATATTCTCAATTATCATTTGTATATTGCATATATTACATCATAAAAAATGTTACAGTAATTATTTTAAATAATACTCGATCCAATGCACTGTATATTTACACTCATAGAAATTTTTATATACATATTTTATTTATTGGGAAAAATAAAATATGTGAAAAAGAGCAATTAAAGATTGGGAAGCAGTAGCAGATTGGTGTGGACTGAGTCTCAACAAATAGAAAAGCCTGTTTGCATAAACAAAAACGAAATCATACGGCGCCTGTGCATCCTTAACGAATACTTTCCCGGTATCCTTTTCAAAATATTCCTTCATTTCGTTCATGTATACAAGCATTTATTCCTCAGACGATATGCTTTGCCTTTAACCACTGGGCCAATGGCTCAGTGGCCACCAGGGAAGTCCCTCCTTGGGTTGCTGGTGAGGGTTCAAACCTCCTCAGTAGCGAAAAAAAATCTAAGAGTTGTGTCATAGCACTCTCTTTGTCTAGTTGGGTCTGTATACCCACTAGCCCCTACAACAGCCTCCTTAGGCTCCCCCTCCCCTTAGATTATGATAGAGTAGGTTATACAAATGTATCGTTGTTGACAAAAAAAAAAAAGATATGCTTTGCCTTTTATAGCAAGGGGGAGGGGCTGGGGTAGTAGTACCATTTAAACGCCAGGGGTATAAATGAGTCGATTTTAATTAAGTAACTTACGAGTTTGCTTAATTAAAATTCAAGTTCGAACTCGTATTAATCGAATTTGAGTTCAAGTTCAAACAATTCAAATTATTTGACGAGCCGAATTCGATTTTAATATGTAAAGATCGAAAACTCATCGAGTTTAATCAAACTTAGGCTTGATTAAATTCGAAATAAACTCAATTGGCCTCAATGAGCACGAGTTCGAGTTTGAACTCGAGTAATGCAAAATACATTCGAATTCGAACTCGAGTTCGACAAAGTTGAGTTCAAATTTTTTAACTCGAGTCAAGCTCAAGTAGTACACTACTCAAGTTTAATTCGATTCGATTACTCCCCTACTAAATACCCTTTTTTGGGCATCTATATAAAAACTATACAAGTATGATGAAAAATTTTATTAGTTCATTGTGGTTTAGAAGAAAATAGATAAATGGATAAATGATTATCAACAGGAGTTATCTCTTCAATGACTGTTTGGGATAATTGACTTTTGTAGTAAATTCACATCAGAAGGGATGCATCCGAATTATCCAAAGGGAAAAAAAAAATCTATTATCGCCTCAAAGCATGCATCAAATTTTGATCCTACTGGTATTCTCGACGGTTGATTTTCTCCTCTTGCCTATGCTAGCGTACACGGTATTTAACGGCCCAATATCCTGCATGTTAAGTTTCAAGCTTCAACCTTCAAGAGTTCCGAGTATATGGCTGTATATAACTTTTCAAATTTTGCTTAATATCCAGCAAAACTGAATTCATCAATATCTCCAAACTCCAATTCCATGGTTACACATTTTTAATGCAAAACATTCGAAGTCATCACTATTAATACCAACATTCAATGTATTTCATCAGTAAATAATTCAAATCAATCATATTCTCCCTATAGGAATACCATCACCAATAATTGCAAATAAAAAATAAAAACACAATGTAATTATAAATATATCAAGAACATTTTTTTTTCTGTAACAACTATAACAGTATAAATGTATAATCTCCATTTAGTCCATCTTCTATTTCCCATCCTTAATTTTTTATCACTGCTATTATTTTCATCTCTAGTTTGATAATCATCACTAAACTTATCATTTGACAATTTAAATTTGTTAACATCAGTAAAAAATTGAAATAAAAAAAGAGCACAAATAAGCTATTTAAGAGAAATGAGAATAGACACCAAGATGTCATTGGTGTATAATCTAATCTATCCTACATTAGGGGAAGGGGACAGATCTAAGAAGATCCAAGAATAATCCGAAGGGAACTGAAATGCCACCGGATCAAACGGATGCACTATGCACCTGCCCGGATTTTTTTTAAGTCAAGTTACTTTAAATGTCGCATTTGCCTCCCACCGCCAAACGCATCAATTGCACCAAAAGGTGTGAAAGGACTAATTAAGGCCGGGAGGATCGCGTTTGTCCATCCATCCTACCACGAACGATTTTACACCTAGAGTAATAATTGAATCACGAAAAAAAGTCACAACCTATCACCCAAATTAATTCTCTCCCGCTCTCTCCCTCTCACTTTTATTTGTTTAGTATTTATAAAATAAAAAAATGTTCACCCTGCAAATTCACTCCGTCGACTCTCCCCAACGTCTTCCGATTACCGTCACCTCCGCCACTCACGGCCCTAATAGAACTACCGGCGACGCTTTGAACTCTCAGGAACTCAGAGGCATCGCGCACCTCTTCCGCCAACTTCCCCCGCCCTCCGTCTCTGCCACTGCTGCCAACCCTAACAGTACCCCTCCCACCCCATCCACCACAATTGCAAACCCTACGGCCCGCACCACCCAGATCTTCATCGTCGCTGTCCCAAATTACCTGTCTTCCGATGACTTCCTTCTCTTTTGCGGCACCCACGTTGATCACTTCCTAGAGATCCTTTTCGTCAGGTACTCTTTTTAAGCTAAACTCTATTGTTTTCTTATTCTTTAATGGACAATTTCACAACGACGATTTTATCAAAATATACGCCGAGGAGCAAGTTAACGTAGACTTTATATTTCCCTGGCATCGTTTTGTTTGTTTGTTTTTTTTAAAGCAGTACACATTCTAAGAATGTCGGATTATCGTTTTAATAGACAATTTGGGATTTATTAGGAAATAAGCCGAATAGCAAATTAACGTTGTTATGATAGCGAAATCGTAGCATTATTTTGGTCTTTCTTTAGTAATACACATTCTAGCACCAGTACTAGATTCATGTAGCATGCATAGCACTTTGTCCACCACGCTCTTTATTTGTTGGCAGAAAACTTCGAAGTTATTCACAAGATTAAGAATTTAGTAAGGCATATGTTTTGACAGGTACTGTGCATATCTTTCAAAGGTATTAATATAGGCGTTTCTAGGAATTTGAGAGGAGATATATTTTGCCTGTTGAAATAGCACTTGAAACTTTGTAGGAATGTTATTGTCTAGTCAGGAAAACTTGAATGTTACCAGTTGTTTCCAAAATGTGAGATGCAAATTATTAATATCAAAATGTTATACATGTTAAGTGCATTTATATTTTTGTATTGACTAGAGTATATTGCAGGAATGATGCAGTGGAGGATAGATATAGCGTACTCATCAGTTTGGCAAATCAATTAGCTGCTGATGGGTTTTATTGCAGTTTCAATGGGAAAAGGTTTAGACCCTCTGAGGTACTTCACCCTTCTTACCTTTTTACCTATGAACGTGTTTTATGGGGTATATCAATAGCTGGACAGTAATCATTGAATTATCCGGTTGAATTTTCAGGCTGAAGTATGTCATATATACTTTACTCAATCAGTTGAGTATACTGAAGTAGCAGAAATTGCTAGTACTCCACCCCCGGGTTTCACTGAGTTGCCAACTTGTCCTATTTGCCTTGGTTAGTTGCCATGCTGCTTTATGTATCTGTTGGTTTAATATCTAAGTTATTCATTATTCTCATGCAAAATTTTAGGATTTAAATTTTGATATGGTGCAAAGCAGAAAATATGATTGTAATTATATTTACTTTTTTCTGAAGAGAGATTGGACCAGGACACAAGTGGAATTCAGAGTACACTATGTGACCATTCATTTTATTGTTCTTGTGTTTCGAAATGGACTTATTTGTCCTGTCAGGTTAGTTTGTCTAACAACCTTTTGTTCGTCCTATTCCTCCATCCACATGGTGGAGTTTCCTGTAAAGTAGAATGCTGACTTCTTTCTTGCATGCATGGTCCATTGCTTAAAATTTTCTATCTTGGATATATCTAATTCCTTTCACCTCCATCTCCTCATAAGTCATGTTCCTTACTGTACTACTTTGTTTTCAGTCACCCTACATATTTAGTCTTGCTTGGTGGACTGTACTTTTCATTAAGTTGGACCTTAGTGCTTTGTCAGCTAATGTCATACAGTGTGCTATTTTTTTTTTTATGGAGGTGCCATTTTTATGTGCAGGTTTGCCGACTTTGTCAGCAGCAGGATGAGAAACCAACTTGTGCTGTTTGTGAAACATTGGAAAACCTTTGGGTCTGTCTGATTTGTGGTTTTGTAGGATGTGCAAGGTGAAACAATTCTTGTAGTTATTTTGCTTTATTTCGAGCCCTACCTTTAAAACTATGATCTTTACTTTAATGTAAATTCATGCTGTATCTAATTGAATAGCTTCTGTCATACATAGGTATGAAAAGGGGCACGCTGTTAGACATTCGAGAGACACAGAGCATAACTACTCCTTAAAATTAGAAACGCAACAAATTTGGGATTATGTGGGGGACAAATATGTTCACCGATTAAACCAGTCAAAAGCTGACGGAAAATCTGGTGTCATGAATTCTCACTGCATTTCAAACGAAGGAGAATGTGGTACATGTGGGTATGAGGAGGATTCAGGACTGGATGGAGTACTTTTTAGCAGCAAAGTTGAAACGGTAAACTTTGTTTCCCAGGAACTTCTTGAGCATAGAACTTAGATCCTTTGTGTTTGAATATATTTCGAATTCAGGATTCTTCGTGTTTCTGGTTCCCTTTCAACTTTTAAGTTTTATAAGATAATGGAACTTCATCTGTCATTAGGTTTTGAAGGTTTTCAATTGTAAACTTGGTGTAGATTGGCAGGCTAGTTGTATTATTTCCCTTATTTAATGTTGTGTTGCACCAAGTTAGTCTGATCTAACATTCATGACTACAGACTGTTGATGAATACAACCATCTTCTTGCAAGTCAGCTGGAGATCCAGAGACAAGTAAGCTAAAGCTCAAATCTTGATTTTCATGATATATTTGGTGTTCTGCATTCTAAAGGTCAAATCTTGATTTTCATGATATGTTTGGTGTTCTGCATTCTCTGGCCATGTAAAGTTGGTAAGCTTCTTGTTAATCAGTTAAAATGCAGTGGGATTGAAGCATGTAACATTGGAAAATTTGCATGGCAGCAATAATCGCTGAATTTTTTAAAATTTGAGTTTCTCACTTTAGATGTTAGAATATGGATAAGTGGAAATTTGCTGCATTTTGACCTTGGCAGTCACCTTGCTTTTTTCCAAGTCTACAGAAGCAGGATCCTCGGGTGTATGGTTTGTCTTTGTGACTTCTGACAGATTGAGGTTGTCCACATTTGTAAATCAGCCTCTTTTGTTTAATAATAACTTATCTTCTTGAGTATTTAGAATGCTTAAAATTTCTAAGTGAATGGAGAAATCGTCCATATTGAAGTTCCTTAGGACTAAATTTTATGAGATAATGCGCCATACAAGAAAATTCTCTTAAATTGAATTACAAATTTGATTCCTTTTTTGCCATGTTTGCAGCATTATGAATCTCTGCTTGCTGAAGCCAAAAATAGCCAAGATAGCACCATTTCCAAAGCAGTGGAGAAGACTTTGTTTTCAAGGATGCACGATTTGCAATATAGATTGGAGAGGTATACAGAGGAAAAGAAAGCTATTTCTGAGGTGATCTTTTTACTCTCAACCTGCCCCTCTCTCTCTTTTCCGACCTCCCTTTAGTAACCTTAAAAAGGGCAAATCTAGTCCACCAGGTTCTCTCCGGTGCAACGTGTAGCAATTATGGCATTTGTCACCCTACCCATGCATACCTCCCGTCGACTTAGTTTTTTTCATGTTTATTGATTTTTTGAGTATTCAATATGTATGTGCATTCAAGTTTGGCTTAAAACATTATATTTCTGATGATGACGTGTTTTTCCTAATTTTATTTGATGCAATTCTTCTATTGCCATGTTTTGTAGCTAATATGAAACTCGTAATGTTGTCAGAGGAACCAAGAACTCATGAAAAAACAGGAACTACTACAGCAGAAGTACAAGGATATTGAGGCAATGTACGGTCTTGAATTATCTTTTCATATTTATATTTCTTCTTCCACTTCTTTTTGTACATATTTTATAACTCCATTTTAGCTGTTGCATGTAATGGTGCAGTTACATGGATTCCTGCACAGTTGATGGTGTTTTATGTTGATCTAATTGTCTAATTTCTCGTGCATTTCAGGAGTAGTTTAACTCTCAAATCTAAAGATGAAATGGTATTGGATCTGAAAGAACAGGTATTTGTTCTTGTTATCATGAATATGTTGTAATCATCTCAAAGTTCTTGCTACTAAATCATCATGTTTAATTTTTGACTGCAGATTAGAGATTTAAAAGTATATCTTGAGGCCCAGAAAAAAATTGCTAAAATGACTGATCGAGAAGGTGTTAAAGGTGGAACTCTTCTACCGGTGGAGGCAACTTGCCCATCGTCAGGTAATCCAAAAAGGCGAGCAAAGTCAGGTAGACGAAGGGGTTAGAGGACAACAATTTTTTTCTAACATTAGAACTTCAGGTATTTATGGTCTTGACGACCTTACTGTATCAACTATATTGACGGATAAAAATGAAATTTGTGTTGAGGGGAGTTATTTTGTATCTCCTATGATATGTAATTCTCTGTAAATAGTTGTATGTTGGTAATATATGTTTATTGTTGGTGAGCCCAATTCTTCAAAAAAACTTTTATGTTTTTATGCTTAAATGTTTAGATAAAGGACTAGGGAAAAATAATGAGCTGTTTGAAGACCTTGTTGGAGGCATTAAATTGCCAAGGATAACAAACATTGTAAAGCCCTAGCTTTCTTCAATTGACTGTTGTCGTCTGAGCCGTGTTAAGATGTAGTACTTGTTGTCTTGCTTTGTGAAGGAAACTGCAGAATGCTTGAATCAATTACAAATAGGGCTTCCTCCAATGCATGCCTGTACTGCTGGTAGATTTGCCTGAGCTGTTGGAGGATATTGTGCACTACGGCAATTAGCCAGCGTCTTCTCATCTCGAGTACAGCCTCATTGGCCCACTTTAAGTTTAAGGTCCTCTGACGTTCTGAACTCACAAAGTATTTTTGGTTTCAAATTTTGTTCCAAACTCAGAAATTTCTGTAGTTTCAAGTATTTTGAGTAGTCAAAGTGTAGTTTTTTACCTTCTATTTTTAGACCATCACTGGACTAAGCCTTCCGCTGAGCTACAAGTGAAAATCCAAAGTAAACAAAACAAATTATCAATGAGCTGATTCTGAGTAGCAAAATACCTTCCCTTTTTTTTTCTATTTAATCTCCGATGTAATAAAAAGCCATGTCAAAGAACATGTGCCCTTTATCGCATTACCTTGCGGAGTTTGAGGATTCGTACTATATTATTTATTTATTTTTATTGAAGACACTACACTTGGGCCTCATAGCCAATGGACTTGACTAAGCAAACGTTCGGTCTCACTGTGACCGTTTTACTTCTCTGAGTTTTTCTGTTCCTGTTTTCTTTACGTTCTTTAATTCTGGGTACGGGGCAAGGCAAAGGGGATGATTTTCTTTTTGTCCAATTTTTTTTTTTCAAAAAAAGGAGAGGTTGGCAGAGAGGAGAGAGATAAGAAACCGTGCCAATTTTGAGCAAACTTGTATCGGCGCCACAAGATAATTGTAGCTGTATAACAATTGGCAGATACATCAAAATATCAAATGAAAAAAACCGCAAAGCTGTTCCCTAAAAAATAACAAAATTGAAACATGGCCTAACAAACCTAGAACACAAAAATCACACAAAGAGGGAGGGTGGGGGGGCAGTTCAACTATTAAGCCCATTCTTCATTTACTGTTACCTTAGCATAAGCCTCCCAATCTCCTTCACAAACCTTAATTTACATCATGGATCAATACTATCTGGTGGAAGCAAGGGAATTAAACAACAAACTGTTGGCATTAGAATGAAATTGCTTCTGCTTTTCCTGACTAATCTACAAAACAAAGAGTGATATCCTACAAACTACCTTATCTAATGTTGATCCTCCTGCTTGGCGAATAAAACCAAAAGGAACACAGCATATCACTAAAATGCAATAGATACAGTTGTCGAATGGTGATGCTCATTGGATGCTACCTCTGTGGTTGATCTGAACTAGCTGCTCCAGAAGTACTAGGCCCAGTACCGTTTTCAATTGGAGGTAAGGTTCCCCACTTGCCCTCGGATTCTAATGGCTCAAACACATGGATTCCACCGTCTGTTAGGCCCAGTGCAAACTGGTTAGGTTCAGATGGGTGAGCAGCAATGACCAGAGGATGGACCCGTAAACTGCAAAACAATATATGGATGATCAGAGAAAATCAAGTCAAGAACCAATTCATTAAACTATTTTCTGGTGATAGTGACACTGACTTCGGGTTGGTAGGCAGGTATGCAGCTGGATTTATTCGACATCTCAATCGAAGACTTGAAGCAGTAAGAACACCTACGCTTCCATCTTCGAAACTGACATAAATTGACTGACTATCGCAAGAATAAGTGGCATGTGTGATGGGGCCACTTGCTTCTCGAGGTACCCACTATATAATGACAACAATTGAAACATTAGAAGCTGCTGGAAAAATGTATATCCTTGTCAAACCAATTTTGTTGAACAAACTTCTAGGATGAAAATATAGATATAAATATCTGAGAAATAAGGACAATATGTACAAGAATAAGCAAGTAATATTGCAATAAAAATTGGAAGAAAGCTTTATTTAGTAACTGAATTTTAAATTCAGATGCTGGACCTGCTTAAGGCATTCCAGTTTTGGTGCCTCATATATGGCTATTTGTGTTTCGTGGACTGCTAGTAAATGTGTGTGATCTTGGTGAAATTGAACACGGGTATCAGCAAGTGGGGCAGCAGCTCGCCCAGCTGGGATCTGCAAATATTTACTTGTTTGCTTCTCCCATGCATCAGTGCTCCAAACACATAGCTGCAACAACAGAAGAACATCACCACGCGAAATAGCTGTGAAATAGTCTATAGAAAACAGAAAAGGTCATCAAGCTAAAACATGGATACAAAATTCTGTAAATTCCAACATTTCTACAATGAGATCAGCCTTTGTCTGGTCCCTAACCTGCTGGTGTCAGCATATATATCATTCCTAAAGCGTAAGAAAATGGCTAAAGGGGAAATACTGCTTTGATATGTTATAGCTTATCTATCCAGAATTATCCAGTTCCCTAGCAACATAGGCAGCATTACCTGAGAATCTGCTCCTGAAGATACCAGCACATTAAAAGCATTTGAGAAAGCAAGGCCTGTAATTCTTTTCTGATGTCCTTTGAGCTTGGTTTTGACCTGTGCCAATGCCAAGCAGAACATTTAGTTTTTTGCATGTTCAACAGTTTTGAATCAGAGACTTTCTGTCTTAAAGGTGTTGGTGTAAACTAAAACGACCTCATCAACCCGAACATTGTATATTTGGATGGAAGAGTCCTCCATGCCTATAGCAATAATATTGTTATCTTGTGGGTGGAAAGCCAAAAATGTTGCAGCAGGTGGAGGTGCCATGAAGGTTGTCATAGTCTGCAAGCAAACAGCAGGACCATAATAAGATCACTTTGCCAGAGCTCTGAGCTTAACACTTACGAGGCCATTTACTGGAAGAGGAGTTACATGAGGCACTTACCTTAAAAGTCATCATATTAAATAAAGAAATTTTCCCTCCAGAAGCAGACATAACATAGGAGTCATTCTTCGAGAGAGCAAAGCATGGAACAGCATCTTCAGGATTTGTGTCACTAATATCATTGGTCATCAATATTCCACTAGCAGGTTGCCATAGTTGTGGCACAACACCAGCAGTTGCCTATTAGAGCATACATTATTGGAAAATATAAATTGACGTCTTCAAAATAAACGAGTTTATCCATTAGAGTAAGCCAGCACCTTTCCAGTTGGGTTGCGGTCATTTCTTGGCCACTTCCAGAGTTTGTGAACAGCGTTGGCAGCTAATGCCAATATAGCAAGCCCTGAGTTTGTGTATATCAATCTTGAAACCTGAATTGTCAAGAGGAACAAAAGAGTACTTCATCATAATTTTGTTAAGACATCAAAATACTTAACAAACTCCAGAAAGGTGCTTGTGCAAGACAGCCCAAGATGGGAGCTCAAAAGTTTTGTGCCAGATGTACACGAGAGAGAGAGAGAGAGAGAGAGAGAGAGAGAGAGGGAAAGAGGGAGAGGGCCCACCCTCATTGCTGTCAAACTATCTGGCAACCTCAGAGAGCGACACTGTGATGGTTCATTGATCTCCGTCATTTTCCATATTCTAGATTTGTCTGCAGACTCATCCGCTATTCTGGGCTTCACATCACCCAAATTTCGAGTGTCACCATTCTGGAGGAAGTTACAAGCAAAAGATTCAATGACTAAATGCAAAATCCAGATAATCTATCACCTATCTAGTGAATAATTTAATCTCTGTTGCAGAATGAAGTAGCCTTCCATTCCACAAGTAAAACAGATCAATTATAGAGCAACAGCATAGACTCCATGCTAAATTTCATACAGCAATACTCACCATTGAAACCATGGCTGCAATTGGAGCAACTCTCTCCACAATACTGGACCCAACAGCTGCACTACCAGCAGCAAATGTTCCCAAAGGCGGAGGCTGTCGAAAGATGAAACAATTAAGTGAGAAATTCATGTTTGACAAACAAAAAAATTCTTGTTCTTTCTTTTAGTGGGGAGGAAGGGATCCATCAACCTTCACGATAGAAGCAGAGGGGACCCTAGAAGCATCAAATGGACGATTTTCCATACTTCTAAGTAGCTTAAGACCATCTCCATTTGCCAGGATTTTAATGCCATTCTCATTTGTTGAGACGGCCAACAAAATTCCTTCCTTATTGAATCGAATACAAGGAGAAGCCTAAGCAGAAATCCAAGATTATTAAATTAGCTGAAAAATCCAAAATTATGAAGGTTTATACTTGTGCATAATCAGAATTACCGGTAGTCCACCATCTGCATCAGTGCTGGTTAATGAGTTAACATTATCCATATCCCAAAATTTGATGATGAACTCATCACCCGCAGCCAAGAATCTATTCTTGGTAGTATCAAATTGCACAATCCCAGAAGCTCGCTTCCCTAGACCAATATATGTCCGTTTTACTGCACCTTCACTTTCATTCCACTCCACAAGGTATGACTCACCTTCTTTGTTAGTCCCGCAAGAGAACAACCTACACATTATTGCACCATACAGAATAAAATTTAGCCCCATCCAGTGGAGTTGAAAAAAAGTACTTTAGTGTAAAAAAAATAACGCAAACAAACTCATGGAAACAATCAGAGATGGAAAAGAAATTGTGGAATTCACAAGTTTTTAGTCAACCTTGTTCCATCAGCACTGTATGCCATAGTCGTGGATGAATGCCCCGGTGCGTCGTAATCAACTCTTGAACCTATGTTATCGTACAACCAAGCCTTTATTTTTCCATCAGTTGCAGTTGAGAAGATGAACTGGTTTTAGAAGACAACAGAACAATGTCAAAACAACCAAGTAAGAGCATATATAACTAAAATCGGGAACGACATGTTTCTATTCTCAAAATGTTCTCCTTGATGCAAAGTATGGTCATCCTTGAAAAGGATAGTTTAAAAAAATTGTCAATGTCACTCTGGTTTCCTTTTGCCCCCATGACAATCCCAGCTGGGTAAAGAGGAATTATGTGTTCAAGAATAAATCTGCATATTGAAATTCATATATTACTCTTATCATCAACAATTTGTTTCACCACAAGTTAATAGAGCATGTTGATTCTGGAGTTTTGTGCAAAAGACAATTT